ACGGTACTTTCTTTTGCTGGCACATCTAACCCATTGTGACACGAGAACCTGACGCTTTGTTTTAGGCAAACTCATGACCACTGCAAGTTGGATGCGTTCTCGAATCACCTCGCACCCGTTGTATGCTGGAGATTCCCGTGTAACGCCTGAGATCAACGCTGACCTAATGCGTGAATGCCGCGACATAACCCGCGGTGTCCTTCGGCCACCGGAACTTTTGCCACCCGTGACTCATGGTGCCATCAAACCAAACGCGCGTTGCCGTTTCGATTTGTCTTGTAACAGGTGTATCTATGCTGATGAAGACTTCTGCAATGTTCCGCCGACCGATTCAATGGCCATTCCAAAAACACCGAACGAAGAAAATGCCTCGTAATATTATCACGTTCCTGGAACTCCCTTTTTTCGTTTCAGATCATAAGAGTCATTATTATTTCATCTCATGCGCAATAATGTTATCATCGATCTTTCCCACATCCCACATTCTTTCTGCCATTCAATCACCGCCGATACCGGTGGCAGGAAAAGATCTGGATTTTCACGTTTTTACTCGCGAACTGGATGCATAAGCAGTCAAGTGCAACTTTTCTACTGCCTAATTTTGATTCTTTCATCTTATTCTGTAACACGATCTCTCTCTTTCTCGCTTTTATTCTTTTTACATCCTAATAATTCCTACTTTTCCTAGAGGTACATTTAGTTATTTTTCTCTCTCTTGTCATGGCAATCTACTGACGGTTTATGATCAGTCCTTGCAAAATGCCGTACTCTAGGATTACACTCGGTGGGTTCTCTTCATCCAACGAGATAAATTCAAGTCTGTTGGTGTAAATAAGGCCAACGAACTTGTCTTGTGGTTGTGTTCCTCAATGTTTGCAGTCTTATCGTGTTTCTATTTTAATTTAATAATGCGAATCTAGATAGTTGTTCGTAATTTCTAAAGCCTCAGTAGCCTGTCGCCAGTACTTTAGTGAATAGGTGTCCACAGGGGTCGCGGTCAGTCTGGAGGCCATATAGTTTCCGATAAAGCGCGAACATTTTCTGGGATTGACTGTGCATTGGGGGCGAGGTTTCTGTTCGTTTGAAAATTTATCTTGACACGGGCAAGTACCGCATGTGGTCAGTGTCATTTACGTTTCCCTTTACTGCACTGCGATACGCTCGACCGATGAAATCAGGCGAGAACTTATCAATTTGATGAGCGATTCTGTTGTTATTGGAATACAAAGTTAGTAAGTACTTTTGGGGGTGTTGGGAGCGAGCAGTCATGACCGCTAGTCGATTAGAGTCTGTAAACGTAACTAGACGGTTACTACTACCGTATCCTTCTCCCAGACCAAAATCCCTCCATGTGTCACCTATGCTCGTCCGCAGGGCCCGTGTACGCGTTCTAGTCCACTGCAACCAACGGAAATTTTGCGCTTTGGATTTCGATTGACTAAATTCCGTTGTAAAAGTCGTCTTTGATGTTTCGATTAGCTTGAAAGGTTAGGTCGAAGGCTGCAATTACGGTCACATTAGACGGTGTACCTTGAAACTGGGCCACGGCTATCACTGGTGAAATAGGGTCCCTAAGAGATCATAGCTTTATGTGCTGGCCCATCCATTGCTCGGCTTCCGGAGTTCGGCGTGCTTATCTCAGATAAAAAGGCCATGTCGATTCCGTGACCGTGGAATGTGCGCATAGTAATACTCTGGCTGCTTGTGTCCAAAAGAGTTTTCACGTGCCCACAGGCTATCATGGCTCTTGCCCTAGTGCAAAGGCTCTCAGTTAATGTCTGGTTCACCCCAGCCATTTGGGTGAGCATGGGGAGCGTCGCTTGCCAAGGACGTTGCCGCATGATCAGTGCGTATTGTAGAGAAGAAAGACGGGAATGTAGTACGAAATGGTACTCACCCCCCCCCCCTGCAGAGTCAGTCGACTGCGTTACGAGGAGGGCTCCTTAGGAGCTTCAATACGCGGCTGTCCAAATTGGAGTTGGTGGTTGTCTTAGGGGGGCCACCCGGGACCTTTTTCCGAAATGGCCTGGTCTGCAGTGTAGCAGAAAGCTTTAGGGTCTGGTGACTGGTGCTGCAAGGCTCCCAAAAGAGACTGTAATTGCGATTTTCAGTTTATACTCCTCATTTGGGATGGAATGTTTTAAGAGGAGACAAGGGTTGATAATTCTATTATGCGGCAAGGCACGATCGGCCCGTCACAGTGTCGTCTTCCGGATCTCGTAGCCTTGTCCGGTTAGAACATTGGCCACACGAAAATCCCGTGTCTTCGAGTACTGCCTCTTGTTTAGTAAGTCTGATCCCACCTTATTTAAGATCAGTCACCATATTGATGGCTATTTCCCTATTCGCGACCTAGGAATGCTCCAGGTAGCATGCAACTCTGCTTGTTCCTGATTGCGGGTTATTTCCTGTAGTGCGAAGTGTAACCTACACAAAAGCTATCCTCTGTGCTGTTGATCTAGGCCATAGCCACTTCAAAGCATCTCAAGGGTGATTCAACTCCCGGAGAGAGAGGTAACCTGTAATTCCTCATCAAACCGACGTGATGAGTGAGTTCAAAATACCGATTGGTTTAAGGTAGGGTAACCAAGGTGGCTGTAGGAGCGCCTTAAGTCGTGATACGGAAGAAGCTCACTTAGGACAGGGAAACAATGTGCGTGCATGATGTCGCATCGGAAAATCTGTATTCTTTGAATCAATTGATGAGCTACCGATCACAATTGTTGAATAGGACCGCTTTACATAACCGTCCGGGAGTTCTAGTGTTATCTGTAGGCGGTCTCCTACTCCCTGGACATCGACGGTAATCCATTTTCATAACCCTCCATCCGCCTGTTCATTGTATGTCTCAAAACATTCGGAAGTCTCGTGGTGTGCCCTCCCAGATTTCTACATTCCGACTGCATACCAGCTTGTCTTCATTCATATAGGCACCACGCATGTTCGCAAACCCGTTATACATCTGACATCTACGATGAATAGCTTTCGGCTATGCGAACGCAATACCGACGAGTGAGTTGTAATCCAAACGTTGCCTTGCCACCGAAATGCTGATGAAGGCCAGGACTATGAAACGCGGACACTGGGATGGGAATACCCAACATAGACACAGTTTGTTCGCTTATTCAGATGACATGATCAGTTGCATCCTCGTAGTCCAATTAACAAGA